GCCTAGGCCCTCCCCCATGTGTCTAGGCTGAGAAAGTATCCCTCTGTATGGAATGTGCTTCCAAAGTCCATTTGTACACTAGGGATAAATACTGATCCACTACCAGAGGCCCCATAGATTGCCCAGGCCGCCTAAATGAAAACCATGATTAGGGGGTCTGGGTGAGTCTTATGATTTCCCAGCTAACAGTCTGGGGTCCATGAGCTCCCCCTTGTTCAGGTCAGCTGTTTCTGAGGGTTTATCCAGCCTGGTCTTGACCCTTTTGCTCATCACTCCTTGCTCTGGGCAATTGACTACCAGGAGTTCAGCGCAGTGTTTAGCCATATCTTCTTGTGCTTCCATCAGCTACTGGATGAAGGCTCTAGGATGGTAAATCAGTCATCGATCTCATTACCAGGGAAGGGTATTAAAGGTAACCTCTCCACTATTGCTTAGACTGTTAGTGGGATGATCCTTGTAAATCTCTGTACATTTCCCTAGTAACAGATTTCTCTTTAAGCCTATAATGGGTCCCTCTATTGACGTATCTCTTTTCTTGATCTCCTTTATTCTTCACTTGACTCAATATTCCTGCTACCTCATGTCCTATTCTTCCCTCCTCTTCTCATTCTCTACATCTTCCCTCCCCCATGCTCCCAATTCGATCAAGAGATCTTGTCCCTTTCTCTTTCTCTGAGAGACCATATATGTCTCTCTCTCAGGGTCCTCCTTGTTTCCTAACTTCTCTGGAAGTGTGGATTGTAGGTTGGTAATCATTTGCTCTATATCTAGTATCCATATAAGAGTGAGTACATTCCATGTTTGTCATTTTGTGACTGGGTTACCTCACTCTGGATGGTTTCTTCTAGTTCCATCCATTTACCTTTGAATTTCAAGGTTCCATTTTTTTTTTTTTTTTTTTTTTTTTGCCTACTGAGTAGTGCTCTGTTGTGTAAATGTATCACATTTTCTCTATCCATTCGTCACCTAAGGGGCATCTATGTTGCTTCCAGGTTCTGGCTATTACAAATAATGCTACTATGAACATGGTTGAATAGATGTCCTTGTTGTATGAATGTGCATCTTTTGGGTATATAGCTAAGAGTGGAATTGCTGGATCTAGTGATAATCTGATTCCCATTTTCCCGAGGAACCAACATACTGATTTCCAAGTGGCTGCACCAGTTTTCACTCCCACCAGCAGTGGAGTGTAACCCTTTCTCCACATCCTCTCCAGCATAAACTATCATTGGTGTTTTTTATTTTAGCCATTCTGACAGGAGTGAGATGGTATCTCAGAGTTGTTCTGATTTGCGTTTCCCTGAAGGTTAAGGATGTTAAACATTTTATTAAATGTCTTTCAGTCACTTTAGATTCCTCTATTGAGAATTCCCTATTTAGTTCTTCACCCCACTTTTTAATTGAATTATTTGGTGTTTGGGTGAGTTCTTTATATATTTTGGAAATCGGCCCGCTGTCGGATGTGGGATTGGTGAATATCTTTTCCCATTCTGTGGGCTGCCGTTTTGTCTTGTTGACTGTGTACTTCAACTTACAGAAGCTTCTAAATATCAGGAGGTCCCATTTATTAATTGTCAATTTCAGTGTCTGTGCTACTGGTGTTACATTCAGGAAGTGGTCTCATGTGCCAATTAGTTCAAGGGACTCTCCCATTTTCTCTTCTAAGAGGTTCAATGTGCCTGGATTTATGTTGAGATCTTTGATCCATTTGGACTTAAGCTTTGTGCATTGTGATAGATATGGATCTGTCTTCAGTCTTCTACACTCTAGCATCTAGTTATGCCGGCAACATTTGTTGAAGATGCTTTCTTTTTTCCATTGTGTGCTTTTAAATTCTTTGTCAAAACTTGGGGATTCCCAGATGAGTGGGTTAATATCAGGGTTTTCAATTCAATTTCAATGGTCCACCTATCTATTTTTGAGCCAATATCAAGCTGTCATCAGGACTATAGCTCTACAATAGAGCTTAAAGTCAGGGATGTTAATGGCTCCACAATTTCCTTTATTGTACACGGTTGCCTTTGTGATCCTGAGTCTTTTGTTTTTCCATATAAAGTTGAGTATTATTCTTTCAAGGTCTCTGAAAAATTGTGCTGGGATTTTGATGGGGATTGCATTGAATCAGTAGATTGTTTTTGGAAAGACTGACTTTTTTACTATGTTGATCCTACCTATCCAAGAACATGGAGGTCTTTCCATTTTCTGGTATCTTCTTTAATTTCTTTCTTTAAAGACTCAAAGTTCTTGCTATACAGGTCTTTCACTTGTTTGGTTAGTGTTGCCACAAAACATTTTATGTTATTTGTGGATATTGCAAAGGGTGATGTCTCTTGATTTCTTTCTCAGCCCATTTATCTTTTTTTTTATTTAGAGAATAGTTTTTGTAATCAAATCCACATAGATAAGTCCTTAAATATTTAATACAGTGCATTACCCCTGTACAAATGGAAAAAATTAAATTAAACATTTCTAGGCCAATATGGCTGTTACTTTCTGAACAATGCCAACTGAACATGGTAAACTGGGATATTTTTTCCAAAGTTGACAGCACAGCAAAAGTATCCAAAAAATCAAAATATATATCTATATATCTATATCTATATCTATATATATGACAATAATAGCAATTTGAACAAAATTGTAGAGACATCCAGCACATTCCATTAAAAAAAAAAACAGCAAAAAAGTAAGAAACATCCCAGAAAACAGCACAGTTCTGTTACTCTTGTGGTACATAGCCCCATTTATTTTTAAAATAGATTCTCAATCATCATCTGGAAGGAAACCATTCTGAGCAACATCATTAAAAACAGCTCTGATAAAGCCCTGTCACTACTATGTATCATAAAGCAGGTCCACATATGAGTGAGTACATATCATGTTTGTCTTTTTGTGATTGGGTGACCTCACTCAGAATGGTCTCTTCGAGTTCCATCCATGTTCTTGCAAATTTCAAGATTCCATTGTTTTTTTTTCTGCTGAGTAGTACACCATTGTGTAAATGTACC